TTAAAAGCTAGACTCACCTCTGCACCCATAATCACTGTACCAGATTGGACACTAGATTTTGAACTCATGTGTGATGCTAGTGATTATGCGGTTGGGGCAGTCTTAGGCCAAAGGAGGACTAAACTTTTTCATGCTATTCACTATGCTAGCAAGGTTTTAAATGAGGCACAAATTAATTATGCCACCACTGAAAAAGAGTTGCTAGCCATAGTGTTTGCATTGGAAAAGTTTCGGTCCTATTTGATTGGTTCCAAAGTGGTTGTGTTCACAGATCATCCAGCCATTAAGTACTTACTCACCAAGCCGGATTCCAAGCCAAGACTCATAATGTGGATTCTTCTGCTTCAAGAGTTTGATTTAGAGATAAAAGACAAGAGTGGCAAGGAAAATCTGGTTGCTGACCACCTCTCAAGGCTCATAAATGATGAGGTGACCCTGAAGGAGAGGGAGATCTTGGAGGAGTTCCCTGATGAAAAATTGTTCATGGTGCAAGAGCGGCCTTGGTTTGCGGACTTAGCAAACTTCAAGGCAGCTGGAGTTATTCCTGAAGATTTCACATGGTACCAGAAAAAGAAGTTCCTCCGTGATGCTACCTACTATGTATGGGATGACCCTCACCTGTTCAAGATTGGTTCAGACGGCCTATTGAGGAGGTGTGTCTCAAGAGAGAAGGCCAAGAGTATTTTGTGGCACTGTCACAACTCTCCTTATGGAGGGCACTTCAATGGAGAAAGAACAGCTGCCAAGGTGCTTCAAGCTGGATTTTACTGGCCGACACTCTTCAAAGATGCCCACAGTCATGCCAAGCAGTGTGACAGTTGTCAGAGGGCCGGAGGAATCACAAGAAAACATGAGATGCCCTTATAGAATATGCAGGAGGTTGAGGTGTTTGATTGCTGGGGCATAGATTTTGTTGGTCCACTGCCTTATTCCTTCACAAATGAATATATTCTTGTGGCGGTGGACTATGTCTCAAAGTGGGTTGAAGCCATTTCTACACCCAAGGCGGATGGCAAAACAGTAGTGAAGTTCCTCAAGAAGCACATATTCAGCAGATTTGGCACCCCCAGGGTACTTATTAGTGATGGAGGTTCACACTTCTGCAATGCTCAGTTGGAGAGGGCTCTAGAACATTATGGAGTCCATCATAAGGTTGCTACCGCCTATCACCCTCAAACCAATGGGCAAGCTGAGGTCTCTAACAGAGAGATCAAGAGGATTTTGGAGAAGACTGTGTCAGCTTCAAGGAAGGACTGGTCTACAAAGCTTGATGAAGCTCTATGGGCTTATAGAACCGCCTTCAAGTCTCCAATTGGTCTCACTCCATTTCAGTTGGTGTATGGAAAAGCTTGCCA